GTCACTTACACACAGCCTCACTTACACACAGCAGCAACACAGCGTCACTTACACACAGCCTCACTTACACACAGCAGCAACACAGCGTCACTTACACACAGCCTCACTTACACACAGCGGCAACACAGCGTCACTTACACACAGCAGCAACACAGCGTCACTTACACACAGCAGCAACACAGCGTCACTTACACACAGCGGCAACACAGCGTCACTTACACACAGCCGCAACACAGCGTCACTGACACACAGCGGCAACACAGCGTCACTTACACACAGCGGCAACACAGCGTCACTTACACACAGCGGCAACACAGCGTCACTGACACACAGCCGCAACACAGCGTCACTTACACACAGCCGCAACACAGCGTCACTTACACACAGCAGCAACACAGCGTCACTGACACACAGCCGCAACACAGCGTCACTTACACACAGCAGCAACACAGCGTCACTTACACACAGCGGCAACACAGCGTCACTTACACACAGCGGCAACACAGCGTCACTTACACACAGCCTCACTTACACACAGCGGCAACACAGCGTCACTTACACACAGCCGCAACACAGCGTCACTTACACACAGCAGCAACACAGCGTCACTTACACACAGCGGCAACACAGCGTCACTTACACACAGCCTCACTTACACACAGCGGCAACACAGCGTCACTTACACACAGCCGCAACACAGCGTCACTTACACACAGCAGCAACACAGCGTCACTGACACACAGCGGCAACACAGCGTCACTTACACACAGCCTCACTTACACACAGCGGCAACACAGCGTCACTTACACACAGCCGCAACACAGCGTCACTTACACACAGCAGCAACACAGCGTCACTTACACACAGCCGCAACACAGCGTCACTTACACACAGCGGCAACACAGCGTCACTTACACACAGCAGCAACACAGCGTCACTGACACACAGCCGCAACACAGCGTCACTTACACACAGCCTCACTTACACACAGCAGCAACACAGCCTCACTTACACACAGCCGCAACACAGCGTCACTTACACACAGCCTCACTTACACACAGCAGCAACACAGCGTCACTGACACACAGCCGCAACACAGCGTCACTTACACACAGCCTCACTTACACACAGCCGCAACACAGCGTCACTTACACACAGCAGCAACACAGCGTCACTTACACACAGCCTCACTTACACACAGCAGCAACACAGCCTCACTTACACACAGCAGCAACACAGCCTCACTTACACACAGCCGCAACACAGCCTCACTTACACACAGCAGCAACACAGCGTCACTGACACACAGCAGCAACACAGCCTCACTTACACACAGCCGCACTTACACACAGCAGCAACACAGCGTCACTGACACACAGCCGCACTTACACACAGCAGCAACACAGCGTCACTGACACACAGCCGCACTTACACACAGCAGCAACACAGCGTCACTTACACACAGCCTCACTTACACACAGCAGCAACACAGCCTCACTTACACACAGCAGCAACACAGCCTCACTTACACACAGCCGCAACACAGCCTCACTTACACACAGCAGCAACACAGCGTCACTGACACACAGCAGCAACACAGCCTCACTTACACACAGCCGCACTTACACACAGCAGCAACACAGCGTCACTGACACACAGCCGCACTTACACACAGCAGCAACACAGCGTCACTGACACACAGCCGCACTTACACACAGCCGCAACACAGCGTCACTTACACACAGCAGCAACACAGCGTCACTTACACACAGCCGCACTTACACACAGCAGCAACACAGCGTCACTGACACACAGCCGCAACACAGCGTCACTTACACACAGCCTCACTTACACACAGCCGCAACACAGCGTCACTTACACACAGCCTCACTTACACACAGCAGCAACACAGCGTCACTGACACACAGCCGCAACACAGCGTCACTTACACACAGCCTCACTTACACACAGCAGCAACACAGCCTCACTTACACACAGCCTCACTTACACACAGCAGCAACACAGCGTCACTGACACACAGCCGCAACACAGCGTCACTTACACACAGCCTCACTTACACACAGCAGCAACACAGCGTCACTTACACACAGCCTCACTTACACACAGCAGCAACACAGCGTCACTGACACACAGCCGCAACACAGCGTCACTTACACACAGCCTCACTTACACACAGCCGCAACACAGCGTCACTTACACACAGCAGCAACACAGCGTCACTTACACACAGCCTCACTTACACACAGCAGCAACACAGCCTCACTTACACACAGCAGCAACACAGCCTCACTTACACACAGCCGCAACACAGCGTCACTTACACACAGCCTCACTTACACACAGCAGCAACACAGCGTCACTTACACACAGCCGCAACACAGCGTCACTTACACACAGCCTCACTTACACACAGCCGCAACACAGCGTCACTTACACACAGCAGCAACACAGCGTCACTGACACACAGCCGCAACACAGCGTCACTGACACACAGCCGCAACACAGCCTCACTTACACACAGCCGCAACACAGCGTCACTTACACACAGCAGCAACACAGCGTCACTTACACACAGCCGCAACACAGCGTCACTGACACACAGCAGCAACACAGCGTCACTTACACACAGCCGCAACACAGCGTCACTGACACACAGCAGCAACACAGCCTCACTTACACACAGCAGCAACACAGCGTCACTGACACACAGCCGCAACACAGCGTCACTGACACACAGCCGCAACACAGCCTCACTTACACACAGCCGCAACACAGCGTCACTTACACACAGCAGCAACACAGCGTCACTTACACACAGCCGCAACACAGCGTCACTTACACACAGCAGCAACACAGCCTCACTTACACACAGCCGCAACACAGCGTCACTTACACACAGCAGCAACACAGCGTCACTGACACACAGCCGCAACACAGCGTCACTTACACACAGCGGCAACACAGCGTCACTTACACACAGCAGCAACACAGCGTCACTGACACACAGCGGCAACACAGCGTCACTTACACACAGCCTCACTTACACACAGCGGCAACACAGCGTCACTTACACACAGCCGCAACACAGCGTCACTTACACACAGCCTCACTTACACACAGCAGCAACACAGCCTCACTTACACACAGCGGCAACACAGCGTCACTTACACACAGCCTCACTTACACACAGCCGCAACACAGCGTCACTGACACACAGCAGCAACACAGCCTCACTTACACACAGCCGCAACACAGCGTCACTGACACACAGCCGCAACACAGCGTCACTTACACACAGCCTCACTTACACACAGCCGCAACACAGCGTCACTGACACACAGCAGCAACACAGCCTCACTTACACACAGCCGCAACACAGCGTCACTGACACACAGCCGCAACACAGCGTCACTTACACACAGCCTCACTTACACACAGCCGCAACACAGCGTCACTGACACACAGCCGCAACACAGCCTCACTTACACACAGCAGCAACACAGCGTCACTTACACACAGCCGCAACACAGCGTCACTGACACACAGCCGCAACACAGCGTCACTGACACACAGCCGCAACACAGCCTCACTTACACACAGCAGCAACACAGCCTCACTTACACACAGCAGCAACACAGCGTCACTTACACACAGCAGCAACACAGCGTCACTTACACACAGCCGCAACACAGCGTCACTGACACACAGCCGCAACACAGCGTCACTTACACACAGCAGCAACACAGCGTCACTGACACACAGCCGCAACACAGCCTCACTTACACACAGCAGCAACACAGCCTCACTTACACACAGCAGCAACACAGCCTCACTTACACACAGCAGCAACACAGCGTCACTTACACACAGCAGCAACACAGCATCACTTACACACAGCAGCAACACAGCGTCACTTACACACAGCAGCAACACAGCCTCACTTACACACAGCAGCAACACAGCGTCACTTACACACAGCAGCAACACAGCGTCACTTACACACAGCCGCAACACAGCATCACTTACACACAGCAGCAACACAGCGTCACTGACACACAGCAGCAACACAGCGTCACTTACACACAGCCGCAACACAGCGTCACTTACACACAGCCTCACTTACACACAGCAGCAACACAGCGTCACTGACACACAGCAGCAACACAGCGTCACTTACACACAGCCGCAACACAGCCTCACTTACACACAGCCTCACTTACACACAGCAGCAACACAGCGTCACTTACACACAGCATCACTTACACACAGCAGCAACACAGCGTCACTGACACACAGCAGCAACACAGCGTCACTTACACACAGCCGCAACACAGCCTCACTTACACACAGCCTCACTTACACACAGCCGCAACACAGCGTCACTTACACACAGCATCACTTACACACAGCAGCAACACAGCGTCACTGACACACAGCAGCAACACAGCGTCACTTACACACAGCCGCAACACAGCCTCACTTACACACAGCCTCACTTACACACAGCAGCAACACAGCGTCACTGACACACAGCAGCAACACAGCGTCACTTACACACAGCGACAACACAGCGTCACTTACACACAGCCTCACTTACACACAGCAGCAACACAGCGGCACTTACACACAGCGACAACACAGCGTCACTTACACACAGCCTCACTTACACACAGCGACAACACAGCGGCACTTACACACAGCGACAACACAGCGTCACTTACACACAGCAGCAACACAGCGTCACTTACACACAGCGGCAACACAGCGTCACTTACACACAGCGACAACACAGCCTCACTTACACACAGCGACAACACAGCGGCACTTACACACAGCGACAACACAGCGTCACTTACACACAGCAGCAACACAGCGTCACTTACACACAGCGGCAACACAGCGTCACTTACACACAGCAACTCGAATGTGCAGGTACCCCCCCCCCCACCCAACTTCGCCTCGCGTGCGCCCGAACGAACCTTCCCGGAGACGATTTTCTCGTAGATCTGAATGGGCTGGTCGGCGAAGAAAGGGGGGTACCCCGCCGCCATCTCGTACACCAGCACGCCCAGCGCCCACCAGTCCACGGCTTTGTTGTAGCCCTGTCGCGCGCGTAGCCAAAAAAAAACACCACACCGGAGAGACAAAAAGACGACGATCCCCTGTGTAGCGTTGACAAACTGTCGAAGGCAGGCGCGGCACACGAGAGGGGGCGGGGCTTGGCCAGCACCACGCCCGGCCGCCTTTGTCTCCCCAGTGGCGATGTTTACCACGCACCGCACTAAGTAATCATGTGAGGCTGAGTTTAGTGAAACAAAGAGACACCAACCCACCCACCCACCCCCGCCCACAACAAACCACACGTTGACTTTTGAACCCTCTCCCGTTCACGTACGTCATCGGAACGGAACCGGGAAGGAAAGGAAAAAACTTCATCGGTACCGAGTGCTTCCACAAGGCCATGCGGCGGGAGGGGCGTGTGGCACAGTTTGGCGCCGGCTATTGTCGAGCGTGGTCGTGTCGCTACGCTTCTCTTTTAAAACGCGACGACGCTACTACTACTACGGCCTCCTGCCCTCTCAATAGAATTTATGCCGAGCTGCTGGCGGGGACACCAACTCACAGCCTCGGTAGGGTAAATGCTGTAAGCGGAAGCACCGGTTACGGTTGACTGTGGGCGGCGGTGTGGCCAGAACCATGCCCGGAAAATCCTTTGTCTCGCCGGTGCCGGTTGGCCACGTACGGTGCGAAAGAAGTTCAACACACAAACGTACGGAAAGTCCTCCTGAAAACACCACGCGTTAAGCGGAGGACTTACCGAGTACTATTGACGGTATTCATAATGTGTGTGGACGGTGAAGATGGGGGAAAGGGTGGGGGGGGTTGGTGGGGCACGTGGCGATCACAACACCTACTTTACTGAGGATGATCTCCGGCGCCAGGTACTCCGGGGTCCCGCACAGGGTCCAGGTCCTCCCCTTGACGCGCTTGGCAAAGCCGAAGTCGGTGACCTGCGCGGACAATAATGGCGACGGGAGAGACGTAACGTATCAATGTGTGTCGTTAAGCCGCCGCCACCTGACACAGCCAAATTGGTAAGGTTTAAATTTCGATTTAAAGCTTTCGTGACTGCAGGGATTCATCTTCTTGGTTCTTTCGGTAAAGTCACGTAGAAGGGAAATAATAAAATAATAAAAATAACACATAATATAATACAATTCTCAGGACGCTTCGGCCACAACGCAAGCGTCGTGAGAATTGTATTTTATAATGTTTTATTTTTATTATTTTATTATTTCCCTTCTACGTGACTTTACCGAAAGAACCAAGAAGGTTGGTAAGGTTTGTCACGTAAATAAAACGTGCCAATTGGTTGCTACTTTAGCCCACGATTCTGGAAAAATAACCCGATGATGCCGGATGTTAATGACCAGCGAAATGTCACGGTACTAAAATTGTAAATGTTGGGAATTTGCTCTCCAACACACCGCTGAGTGCCGAACTAATTGGTATGTTTTGTTTACTTGACAACCCTTACTTAATTCTAGATTTGAAGCTTTTGTGACTGCAAGGATTCATACTCTTAGGTTTACCGAATAAACCCTTACTTAATTGGCTATGTCGGGTGGTGGTGGCGGGTTTAACGACACATTGATACTTATGCGATCTAACCCAAAAAAACAACAACTTTATTACGAATAATATTGGTCGCGGAAGCCTACTTACGTCTCAAACAGATGTGAGAGACGGCCCAACGCTCAGCTCTGGCGCGTGGCAGGGGGGCGGCCACCCCCCCCACCCCCACCCCCCCAACCTTGGCACGCGATGAGAGCGCTTGTTTAAAACCAGGGTTGTCCTCTTCGACTGTTATTATTTTCCGGGGGGGGGCATATAACATACAATACAACTTATGTACGCGCTGGCAAGCGGGCCACGTGGCGTAGCGTGCTGCGTGCGCAGACGTCACGGCACCTAAGCTCTTGCCTCCAGTGGCATCGCAGCGTCTAAGCTCTCGTCTCCAGGTCCATCATCTCAATCGCGACGGGAGAGAAAGTCCAGGCACTGCTTATTGCTTTTAATTATTACTCCTGCTACTTGTTTTTTCCACACCTGCACTCACCTTTCTGGATAATTCTGTTTAACCGGGTGAGAACTCAAGAGACCGGGATGAACCCTCATTTGCAAGAGTGTGAGGAATTGGCGTGTTGCGTGCGTGTGTGTTACTGCGGAGAGACAAAAACGGACCTGGATGTACCCCTGCTGGTCGATGAGAAGGTTCTCTGGCTTGAGGTCTCGGTAGATGAGGTCGAGTGAGTGCAGGTACTCGAACGCCAGCACGATCTGAGCCGCGTAGAACCGCGAGTGCGGCTCGCTGCACACGCCCAGGCAGAGAGACACAAGGTCAGAGCGAACACCGGTGAAGGCCGGCAACTGCGGCACACGAGCGGTGTGAGTGGCCAGCACCACGCCGAGGCAAACTTTGCCTCCCCAGCGCTGATGTTAACACACTGCACCGGCAGAGGTCGTAACCAGGTACCCGATACCCTACCCGATACCCGGCTACCCGTACCCGGTGCGGCCGGGTACGGGTACGGGTAGGCCGTGAGTCACTGGTGAGTAACCGTTTGTCACTCATTTCCCAACGTCTTGTCTCTTCTCACAATTCAAGTTCCTAGAATTAACCCACCCGCGCCTGCAACATGGCTTCATCCCAGAGGTCGCAATCGGGGACCCGTACCCGTACCTTACCCGATACCCGGCCGGGTCCGGGTTGACGGGTATCGGGTAGGGTACGGGTACCCATTTGCGACCCTGGTGCGGACGGGTACGGGTACAGGTAAGGAATCAAAACCCGTTTGCGACCTCTGTGCACCGGGTACACATGTAAGCGTGAGTCGACCGAGGGGAAGGCCTAGGACCAGTTAAAATATTCGCCACTGTCATCGTCTGTGACCGGGTTCATGGCGCATTGTGGACGATCGCTCCCCACCTCCCCGTGACAAGTCTCCCCCTCATAAAGCCTGAATAGTGGGGCTGCAGAGTTTGGTAGTACATGTTGTTTACGTCGTTTATTGTGAAAATTCGGTCACAGTTCCTATGATCACTGTTTCATTGCTTTCATGGCTTTATTTTGGTGATACTCGAAAAGTTTTTTGGTTTGGCCATGTTTGTTTGTTGTAGTACAGAGTTAGACTGATGGCCTTAATCTAAGTTGTCTTGTGGTTGTTGTTGTTGTTTAACTTGCATCCCACTGGGATATTTGCACAGGGTTGGTGTACGGTGAATTTTTCTGCAATATTTTGCTGTCTTTTCTGGATTTTCTGTTTACACATAGTCACTTTAAGATGTTTTCTTGTTCATGTTTTTGTTTTTTGTTTGTTGCGGTTGCACCCGATTCAAGAGCCGAATGGCTCACAGAGCTATACCTAATAAATGAACTTTGAACTTGAAGCGAGTACTCTTATGAAGGCCGGCATGGCGCACGAGAGGGTGGTGGTGTGGCCAATACCACGTCCGGCCGCTTTTGTCTCCCGAGTCGCCATTGTGGCGAGATGTTATCTACCTCGCCTGGTATACAGAAAGGTGTGGGTTCGATCCCGACCCTGACAATCTGTATATATGGAGTTTGCGGTGTGTCCCTCCGCGTGGTGGCATGAATCTTTCCTCCGGCTCCTCCGGTTTTTTCTCCCTCCACATTTAGAATGAACGTCACGGCGTTTAGAGTTTTTGGCTGCTGGTATAAATTCCCACGTGATCATGATGATGATATAACAGAGGTCGCAACCGGGTACCCGATACCCGTACCCTACCCGATACCCGGCCGGGTACGGGTACCCGTTTGCGACCCTGGTGCGGCCGGGTACGGGTACGTGTAGGCCGTGAGTCACTGGTGAGTAACTGTTTGTCACTCATTTCCCAACGTCTTGTTTCTTCTCACAATTCAAGTTCCTAGAATCAACCCACCCGCGCCTGCAACATGGCTTCATCCCAGAGGTCGCAATCAGGTACCCTATACCCGTACCCTACCCGTACCCGGCTGGGTACGGATACCCGTTTGCGACCCTGGTGCGGCCGGGTACGGGTAAGGAATCAAAACCCGTTTGCGACCTCTGCGATATAAGCAACTTCCTTGAGCTAAAGTAGCGAGTTGTATATTCTGATAATTCTGATTCTGTCCGATCGGGGGTGGTCATAGGAGGGTTTTGTGTGAATCCTATAAAGCCAGAGAGACCGCCCATATTAAAACTCGCCTCGACCCGCTCGCCTGCTGCGCCGCCGCCGCCGCTGCCGAACTCGGCTTCGTCGTGACTCATAAAACCAAACGTTTTGGAGCAACCTTGGTTTTGTTTCCTCCCTCAAACATCATAAATCTTCCTTCCAAAGAACTATCCTGAAGCAGAAGATTTGTGTAGGACACGGCGGCCACATCGCTGCAACTTTGGTCCTTAGCCATGCAGCATCGGTAGTTTCACGTGAATGTGGCCATTTTATGGAAGGGACGACTGCTGTTGATGCCGTGTGCGGTGTTCTCTTGTTGGTGTGGTCTGGGACAGTTTTTGTTGTTGTCGTTTTTGCTGCCTTGCCCAAGATTTTAAATACATGTTTTATCTATCTATTTAGTTATAGTGAATTGCTTTACCGTTTCTCTATTTTGCACTACTGTTGTATTGTTGTATTTGGTTGCCGTTGTATAATTTAGCTGACCATCTGTTCAATAAGTAATATTTAAAAAGACTTTTTTTTTTAAACATGCTTTAATGAAATGTACCGTACTCGTAATGGCAAAACTCCACGACTCCAGGAAGTGGCCCCGAAGCTTGCCATAACGTAAGGGGGCCGTGGTGATTTACAGCCAACGTCAGTTGAGCGTGGACAATTAGACCGAAGCCGAAACATAACATATAAAAAAGATTGTTTAAAAATATATATTTTATTTTTAATGATAGAATATAGTATTGTCATCAGTATGACATAAGTATACCAAGTTTGCAGTCGATAGCACATTGGCAAGTGGGTTAAAATTGAGTTACACGATTTGGGGATACAACAACAACAGAGTGAGTTAAATAAAAGCGTGTAAAAAGAGCTTTATATCTCATCGGATTCCTCCCCCTCCCTCCTCCTCTTCCCCCCTCCTCCTCCCCCCTCCTCCTCCCCCCCTCCTCCTACCCCCTCCTTCGTCTTCCTCCCTCCCCCCTCCTCCCCCAGTCTAAACAAAGGTTCTGATTCGAAAGGCCGAGCCACCGCACGCACGGTGGTTACCTGAAGCGTCCGATCCTCCGCAGGTGGGAGAACATCTCTCCCCCGGGCACGTACTCCAGCACCATGTACAGGTTAGAGTTGTCCTGCACAAGACAAAGAACAAAGATCCCCCCGTATAGCCTCGACGGTCTCCTGGGGGCAAGTGCTGTTAACGAGCACCAATCAAGGCCGGAGCGACGCACGACGGAGGTGGTGTGGCCAGCACCACTCCCCCACGCGGACTTTGTCTGCCCAGCGCCGATGTTTGCCGATGTTTCCGCAGCATAGCAGGCACTTAATTGAGGCTGAGTCAACCTAGGTGAGGCCCAGCACCAGTCCAGATGATCGTCATCGGCGGTATTGACGGTGAGCTGGAATCGAACTCAGGTGGCAGGTTTCTCAGTGCAGCACTAGTCCGCTCCCCCCCCCAAAAAGACAAACATCCCCCGTATAGCCTTTAACAGACTGTTGGGGTAAGAGCTGTTAACGAGCGGCACCTAAGAAGGCCGGCAAAGGCACACGATGTGGGTGGTGTGACCAGCGCTACGCACCCGACCGCAACTTTGTCTCCCAAGTGACGATGCTTACGCAGCGTAGCAGGTCGTCATCATTTGAAGCCGAGTCAACCAGGACTAGGTGAGGGACGGGACGAGGAAAGGACGGCACGGGACGGGACGCGCTACCTTGAAGCTGTACTCGAGGCTGACGAGGAAGGGGAAGCTAATGGCCTGGAGGATCCGCTTCTCGTTGAGTGTGTGCTCCACCTGTTTTAACTTCACCACCTGCAAAGAGACAAAGTTCCCGTCGTTTGCCAGGTATCTTCGCACGTTCTTGGGAGGGGGGGGGGGGTACCGAAGGTGGACGCGCCAAAAACTGGAGTGGGGCGACATTTATGGGATTCAGTGCAGAATTGGAATTTTTTTGTTTTATACCGGTGGAATCCGATGAGCTGTAAAGCTCTTTATATGTCCAGTAGGGGCGGGTCAGAAAGTTACAACAACATACAATACGAAAAGGCGATAGGAGTGCAAAGTAAGCGATTCAATCAATTGCAACGACGACGAAAAAGCGACGTTTATTTTATCAGGTATGCCACCACCAGAGGTCGCAAACGGGTTTTGATTCCTTACCCGTACCCGGCCGCAGCAGGGAAGCAAACGAGTACCCGTACCCGTACCGTATCCCGGCCGGGTATGGGTACTCGTACGCTACCCATACCCGTACCCTACCCGAAATGAGTGACAAACGGTTACTCACCGGTGACTCACGGCCTACCCGTACCCGTACCCGGCCGCACCAGGGTCCCAAACGGGTACCCGTACCCAGCCGGGTACGGGTAGCCGGGTATCGGGTAGGGTACGGGTATCGGGTACCCGGTTGCGACCTCTGGCCACCACTGAGCTGTGAGCTTCTGTTTCAGAAGCTCACAGCTCCCCACCACTTCGTTGAGCTATCGACAGCACTGCGGGCACCTTCTGCTTGTCGAGGATCTTCATGGCGAAGTATCGGTCCGTCGCCTTGTGCTTGACGAGCATGACTCGCCCGAACGAGCCCGTTCCCAGCGTCTTCATCCGCTCAAAGTCGTCCAGGCACGATGTGTTCTGCGTGCGCCGAAGACAGCGGACACCCCCGGCAAAGACTTCAGTCGACCGTTGGGGGCGAGCGCTGTTGTAAGCGAGCGCCCGATCAAGGCCGGCACGGCGCACGAGAGTGGGGGGGGGTGGGTGGGGGACGGCCAGCACCACCCCATGCGCTGATGTTTACTCGTACTCGTTTGAGGCACGCACAGACGCATGCACGCTTACAAGCGCTCACAGGCAAAGACAAAGATCCCCCGTGTAGCCTTAACAGACTGTAGGGGCAAGTGCTGTTAGCGAGCACCTATGAAGGCCGACACGGCACACGAGGGGGTGGGTGGCCAGCACCACGCCCGACCGCCTTTGTCTCCCCAGTGGCGATGTTTACACACCGCACCAGGTACTCATTTAAGGCTGAGTCGACCTATGGGAGGCCCAGGACCGGTTCAGATAATCGTCACTGGTGTTGGCCGCGAGCGGGAATCGAACCCGGGTCGCTAGGTTCATAGCGCAGCACGCTAACCACTACACTACCGCTCCCCATACACAAAGACAAAAGACACACACACGCGCACACACGCGCACACGCGCGCACACGCGCGCACACGCGCGCACACGCGCGCACACGCGCGCACACGCGCGCACGTGCCGCTCCTCCCACCTGTTGGGGGTTTTCCCATTTCTTCAGGAAGTCTTCCTTGGCTTTGGCCAAAAACTCCTTCACTGCAAAAATACACAAGGCGGCAACGGCAGGGGAGGGAGGGGAGGGGGAGGGCATGATAACAGCAACAACGACGACAACGACGATGGGAGCGCCGCGCGCGTCGGCGCGACGAACTCTCTCCCCAGCGGCGAAAATCCAGGGCGGAAGCGGCTTTGTTACGGCGGCGCTGGCTACGGCGGGCAGCATGCTGCAACATGCATCGTAGCTGCGTGACAAGAGCAGTTCAAACTATTGTAAACTGCAGATATTGACATGCCATGGTTCTTTCGGTAAAGTCAAGTAGATAGAAAAAATAACAATAAAATTATATTGAATTTGTATTACCAGGTAAGGCCCGCTGAGCTATGTTAGCTGCTTTGTTTTTTACAAGCGACCTGGCCATGACAAATTACAGGTCAGCGAAACGGGCTTATCATCATCATCATCATCGCGTGGACATTTAGAACAGGAGCCAAATAACGTGATGTTGATTCTAAATGTGGAGGGGAAAAAACTGGAGGAATCCCGAGAAAAATCCACGCGACCACGGGGAGAGATGAGAGAGACACCGCAAACTCCAAATATACAGCCAGGTGTCAGGGTCGGGATCGAACCCACGACCTCCTGTATACCAAGCGAGGTAGTTAACATCTCCTAGCCACCGTGATGATGATGAGAGAGACACCGCAAACTCCAAATATACAGCAGGCGTCAGGGTCGGGATCAAACCAACGACCTCCTGTATACCAGGCGAGGTAGTTAACGTCTCCTTGCCATCGTGGTGCCCCACTGTGATCGCTGGATGCTTTGGATGTCATCTGCCAGCCGAGTAGCTCCCTCGACAAAGAGCTTCGTGGCCCGAAGTGCTTTCGTCGGGAAATAAACTGCTGATAAAACTTCTGAACTCCTGACGCAAAATTGCGTTGGCAGAAGTCAAACCTGGATTTTAACCGGAGAGTTTTTAGCACTGCGCGTGCCTGAATTTAAAAGGGTATTTTTTTCACGTCATAAAATAAATTGGTTCGAAGTGGAAGGAGTCTTTTTTTTTATAAATCTCATGAATCGTGACAATTAACGACTAGAATGTAAAGCTCTCTGTATAGAAGCAACTGACGCCTCATTAAGGACGCAATTCATGCCCTCCCCATTGTTGTTTACTTATTTATGAATCATCACAATTCAAAGAACCGATCAATTTCACGTCTCATTTTTGGCGGCTGCGGCTGTAGGTTTAACGACACGTTCCTATTTACACGATCTCACCCAAAAAAACCTCTTCTGGATCATATTGGTCGCGAAAGCCTACTACTTCTACTACGCGTTAAACCGTCTCATTTTTGTCATCCGTTTCTTATGTTCTCTATCACCTGCTCCATGAGCCCTATAGGTACAAATCCGCACATGTGGTTTGCCAAAATCGTAGATAACCAATGCTTACACATAACCTTCGATGTAATGTACCTCCAGCGTAAGAAAAGTATTTTTACTCGATGAATAATTCACGTAATCACAATCGTCTTCTGCACGTAAGCTCTCATAGCAACAAGCCATTTAGAACCAGCAGCCCCCGTTTCACACTAGGAGAGGTTTGTGATTCAGCTTCCTATGCTAAGTTGGCGGTACGGCCTTGTCCTCCTACAACGCAGTGGGGTTAGTCGCGTTCCTGAAGAACACTGAGTTATGGAAAAATCGCGTCATAATATCATATCGGGGGTAAAGCAACAGTCCGCGATGATACGTGAAACGCGTAACGCAGGGCCCGAACAAAGACTGAGACACGTTCTAGATTTGAAGTTTTCGTGACTGCAAGGATTCATACTCTTTGGTTTTATCGGTAAAGTCACGTAGGTAAATTTTTTAAATAAATTAAATCACGACGTTTCAGGTGCAACACAAGCCTCCTTCTTCTTTAGTTGTCCCCACCTGAAGAAGGACGCTTGTGTTGCGCCCAAAACGTCGTGATTTAATTTATTAAAATTTTTTAACCTACGTGACATTACCGAAAAAAACAAAGAGTACTGAGACACGTGGTGGGTAGCATCTAGAAACATCCAGCATCATCCCAATATGCCTTGAGTGAAGCTTCACCGAGGCAGCCGTAAAAAAACGCTTATTCCTACTCGCGAGACGTAGTTCCGTCCGCTCAACCGCGTTATATCCAGTTCGCATCCGCGTGAAAAAAAGAAATGCGTTCCCTAATACATTCATCGCGTTCTATCCAATTCGCGTTATGAGAACATCACGCGGCGTTACAGGAGAACGGACTATGCCTGGCCAATTGCTGTCACTGTTGTAGTCAAGTTTAATGTCATCTGCTTGACACTGGGTGGCGTCATTGGGTTTTGAGACCATTTTGCTTGAACATCGATCACCTTACACTAACACGGGAATTGAATATATTTTTCCCTGACTTACTGATAGAAAAACAAACTATTGTCAATAAAATCTCTGCTCTGAAAAAGACCAGTACATCGGCGAACCCGATGTAATGATACGTGTCTTGTAATGGCGGTCTTCAACCTGGGCCGATACTTGGGACGTCTGTATGTACGTACGTTGAATTTCTTTTGCCCCTTACGGAGCCAACCATGCTAATCGGAGGTGCAGTGTTGAGTGTATGGAAAGGTTTCAGCCAATGGGCAGTGTTGTATCTATGGGCAGTATGTATGTTGAACTTCTTTTGCACCATACGTAGCCAACCGTGCTAATCGGAGGTGAGAGATGGACTCGCAAGACGTGACCACTGGAAAGCTGAGAAGGCGCACAAAGTTGTTCTCTGTACCCCCCCCCCCCGCTCCCCCACTGCCTCAACCAACAGGCCTCCCCCAGGTCATCCCAGGTCACCCCAGACCAGCCAGGTCATCCCAGGTCACGCCAGGTCACCCCAGTTCATTCCAGGCCACCCCAGGTCATTCTAGGACACTCCAGGTCACCCCAGGCCACTCCCCCCCCCACCCGTTACCGTTACACAGTTTCACATTCTATGCCCGTTCCGTCAGCCGTCACAGATGCAGGGTGACGGCACGCGAATGGTACGAGGGCCGGGTGCGATTGGTTCACCAGGGGGGAAGTCAGGCGGTCGGTCGTCAGCCTCCGTTTATAACAGCCAACGGGTTCCCGATCGTTGCCGAGCAAAAAACAAACAAACTCAGACGAGCGACAGGCCGGGGGGGGGGGGGGCGGTGGTTTTAAGAGTGTGGTGCTCTCTCATTTCATCTCAACACCAACGTCGTCATTCTCCCCAAACCCCTTTTGGCAACTTCAAAAAAAATGTTGTTGCAGCGATTGCAAAAAAAAAACATGCCGGAGTCGAGTCGCCGTTGCAGGCAGCGAGGGGAGCGATAACGGCGATAACGGCGTGTCCGTACAGGGCGCACCGTCCATTATTTACGAACCGGAATCAACGACGGCGGATTTGAGGCAAGGTCGTCATGCACGCTTTGTAGTGCGACGATTTTTATCGTACGGGACTCATCCCCCCCCTCCACTCCACGCCCGGGGCGTTAACGAACGTTTCGCGTTTGTGCGACTGTTCGCAACGCTCTCAGGAGTGAAACACGAATCGCCGTCCGCGATTCTTGATCGCTTAAAAAGGATTTTCTGGCTTTCACTCGGCAGCAAAAAAAAACTCCACGTGTGTCATCCGTCAATAAGAAGCATGAACACATAATAAGAATAGCTTTTTACCCTTTCTGGCACTGAAACAGGAGTTGCTTCAAGATGGTCAAACACCAAATAGAAACCTTTTGCAAACGAATCGAGTGCTGCATTAACAACACACAGTAGTTGTGGTGAACATGCAAACAAACGTGCTCTGATAATATTGTATGCATTGCCGTTTAAACTGATTGGCCTCCACCAGAGGACAGCCTTCTTGGTGGCCTTGTCTCCACCAGAGTTAGACCAGAAAACACCAAAGGAAAACCGTATAAAGGACAAATGAACGACTCAAAGCGTTAATAGCCCGGGTTGAGCGGTTATATCACGGATACCACTTTGCCAGTATCAAAATTATGAAAACATAACAATAGGCTTTAGCCTTTCTGGCATATAAAACAAGAGGGGTTTTCAGATGTTTAAACACCACATAGATACCTATTGGAAGGCATAAAGTCTCCATTAACTTAAAAATTATAACGTGAAAAATGAGAATAGGTTATTACCATTTCTGTTCACCTTCTGGTGCTCTCTCGTCTACTGACATCAGTGGCGAGACGAGGCCGTGGAGAAGGCTGCAGCTCTAGTGGAGGCCAATCAGTTTCAAAGACAATGCGTGTATTATTGTCAGAGCGCGTTGGTTTTCATGTTCACCACAAGTACGTGTGGTTGATGCAGTACTCGATTCCTTTGCAAAATGTATCTATTTGGCATTTAAACATCTTAACACCTATATTCTTGGTTATTTCGGTAAAGTCAGGTAGAAGGGAAATAATCAAATAATAAAAATAAAACAATAAAATTATCACGACGTTTTGATTGCAACACAAGCAATCATCATCAGGTGTGAAAACTACAGCAAGAAAATGTTCTTGCTTTCTCTCGGCAGCAGAAAATTTTCTTGCTGTGGTTTTCACACCTGATGACGATTGCTTGTGTTGCAATTGAAACGTCGTGAGAATTTTATTGTTTTATTTGTTTTATTTCCCTTCTACGTGACTTTACCGAAAGAACCAAGAATATGAATCCCTGCAGTCACAAAAGCTTTAAATCGAATTCTTAACACCTGTTTTGATTGTTCTAAAGGATAAAGCCTATGCTTATTTTTCATACTTTGATACTGGAAAAGGTCCCAAAAGTGTAACTTATTATCCTTCAATTATGGACGATACCCCAAGTGTTGAAACCTGAACTTTTTTCGCACCTGTACGTAGCCTAACTGTGCTGAACCACTAACCACCGGACGTCTCGCGTACGTTGAAATCTTCAGGAGCCCCCAGAATCATCGTTTGTGGTGCTATTACTGCAGAACAGGGCTTCGATTTTAGCTTTTTTTTGTTTGTGCGAAACTGAGACCGCGTTA